CAGCAGCTCTCTAGGCAAAGATCCTTCACATCTTGCTCATTATGAACTCAGAAAGCTGCTTCTCCAGAACCGGACTATTGTCCTATCAAAGTCAGTCTTGTAAACTCAGACCGGCCGCAGCTCTCCAGGGTCACAGGCAGAAAAGCTCTTCCATATCGCCTCCTACCCGGTCCTTTCGACTGGACATACTCGGATTTGAACCTGGGACCTTCCGCGTGCCAAGCAGAGGCTCTTCCACTGAGCCACTGGCCCCTCTCACCTGATACTTTTAGCTGGAGATGCCGGGGATCGAACCTGAGACGAGCCCTTCGGCCTGCCAAGCGGATGCTCTACCACTGAGTCACAATGTCCCACCTTGCCATATACAATACAACACAGCGGCTTCTCATAGACAATCGATGTGCAGATACCATTCTCACTCCAAGAACTTTGGCTGGAGGTGGGCAAGTCTAAGTACATGATGGGACATTTGCATGGAACTGAACCCTCCGCATTTCGATGCCCCTCCCAGACATTCTTGCAGCATGGGATTTGCGCAACACTCGTCTCTCCCCCAGTGCCTAAACACAGTAGCCGCCAGTGTTCCCTCTAAGCTGAGTTAGTGTGAGCTAGCTCACAGGTTTTTAGCCTCCGGCTCACACATTTTTGTCTCAGCTCAGGAAGGGGATGGCTCCAGAGCAGACTAATTTAGCAGTAACCAAATCACTCGCTCACAACCAATGTTCCCTCTAAGCTCTGGAGTCTTGTGAGCAAAACTTCTACTTTGTGAGCTCCTGGCATTAAAGTTGTGAGCAGTGTTCCCTCTAAGCTCTGGAGTCTTGTGAGCAAAACTTCTACTTTGTGAGCTCCTGGCATTAAAGTTGTGAGCAGTGTTCCCTCTAAGCTGAGTTAGTGAGAGCTAGCTCACACTAACTCAGCTTAGAGGGAACACTGCTCACAACTTTAATGCCAGGAGCTCACAAAGTAGAAGTTTTGCTCACAAGACTCCACAGCTTAGAGGGAGCATTGGTAGCAACACGGGCGGTCACCAATGCAAGAGTTCCAACCTGCACACAAAGATCCTCGTTCGCCACGGGCTCCCTCTACACGTAAATAAAAGAATTAGCATTTCGTGGCAGTCTCCCCCCCCCCCAATGCACATAACATGTGTCTGCATCACAAGGATCCTTCTGGGCTCGGGAAAAGTTGCAGAAGTGCGCTTCCACATACAATACCTAAACTGAAAGGTCCCAACTAAATGGAAGAGGGTGAGGGAAAGTCATGAGAACATAAGAGAAGCCGATGTTGGATCAGGCCAGTGGCCCGACCAGTCCAACACTCTGGGTCACACAGTGGCCAGAAATACCAGGTGCCATCAGGAAGTCCAGCAGTGGGGCCAGGACACTAGAAGCCCTCCCGCTGTTGACCCCCCCCAAGCACCAAGAATACAAGGCATCACTTGCCCCAGACCCAGAGTTCCTACCTATACCTTGTGGCTCATAGCCACTGATGGACCTCTGCTCCAGATGTTTACCCAATTCCCTCTTGAAGCCGTCCATGCTTCAAGTCGATGACGTTTTTCACAGTGTGCGATGATCGGGGTTTGTTCTTTGATCAGAACAGTTTTTTTCCAAGTCTGTGTGTAGTATACTATCGGCACTTGGATACAGTGTGTAGTATACAATCGGTGGATCAGGCCAGTGGCCCATCCAGTCCAACACTCGTGTCACACAGTGGCCAAAACCCAGGTCATCCATGCTTAGATTCCAAGCTCTGAGAGTGGCTCTTAGCCATGAGGTATAGATGGAATGCTATGACTGGGGCAGTGATGCTCTGTCTACTTGGTGCTTGTGTGGGCCACAGTGGGAGGGCCTCTGGAGTTCTGGTCCCGCTGGTGGCCCTCCTGATGGCCCCTGGGTTTTGGCCACTGTGTGACGCAGAGTGTTGGACAGGATGGGCCATTGGCCTGATCCAACATGGCTTCTCTTTTGTTCTTATGTCTGGCCAAAAGTGTTGGACTGGATGGGCCATTGGCCTGATCCAACATGGCTTCTCTTGTGTTCTTATGTCTGGGCAATTAGAGCTGCTACCCCAGCCTTGAATTTGGGAAGCCAGGGAGTGAACCTGGGACCTGCTCCATGCGCAACAGACCCTCTGCCACAGACCCTCCCTGAAGTGTGTTCAACACAAGCTCACCCACCGCTCACTGAACGGAGCCACTGTGCTGATTTTGGGCTGCATGGCGCTTCCATTTACCCATGTGGAAGATGTACTGTTTCCAGTTGCCGCAAGGCCACGACTCAGCAAACTATGGCCGCAAACGGGTGACAGAAACAAAAACGCTGCCTTCACACTGCAAGACTGCATATACAGGGAGGGGCTGTGGCTCAGTGGAAGAGATGCATGCATGCAGAAGGTCCGCGGTTCGATCCCCGGCATCCCCACTGAAAAAGGACCAGGCAGTAGGCAGTGTTCCCTCTAGGCTGAATTAGTGTGAGCTGGCTCAGTTTTTTAGCCTCCGGCTCACACATTTTTTTTGCCTCGGCACAGGAAGGATGGCTCCGGAGCAAACGAAGCCAAATCGCTCGCTCACCACTTTAATGCCGGTAGCTCACAAAGTAGAATTTCTGCTCACAAGTCCCCACAGCTCAGAGGGAGCACTGGCAGTAGGTGATATGAAAGACAACCCCCCCCCCAGCTGAGACCCTGGAGTCTGAGTAGACAGTGCTGACCTTGATGGACCAAGGGTCTGTCTCAGTAGAAGGCAGCGTCATGTGTGTACTCCGAAAATGCATTTTTCTGTCACTTCCTCGGCACTCACCTGGATAGCCCAGGGTAGTCTGAGCCCATCAGATCTCAGAAGCTAAGCAGGGTCGGCCCCGGTTAGTATTTGGATGGGAGACCACTGAGGAAGTCCAAGGTTGCTGCACAGGGGCAGGCCGTGGCCAGGGGTCATTTCCTGCAGGAGCGCACAGGAGTGGAGCTCCGGCAGTAAAGAGCCCAGGGGGTGGGCACATGCAACAAGCCCCGCCCCCTGCTCCCAGCAGCCCTCAGTCAGAGCAAGAAGCAGCCAGGTAAGTTGCAGAGCTCCCCCCGGTCCAAGACAATCCAGTGGCACCTTTAAGATGACGTTTTATTCAGGTACAAGCTCTCCCTCCTCTGCGAGGACAGATCTGCACGTCCCCCCCCCACAATAGCTAGCAGTCCAAAACAGTCCAGTGGAGCCTGAGCGGTGGGTGTTGCCTTCTGACACACTTCCGGTGATGTCAGGGGGTGTGGCGTATGCAAATAAGGTATGCTAATGAGTTATGCTAATGAGCTCCTGCACCTCTTTTTCTACGAAATGACCCCTGGCCATGGCAAACCACCTCTGAAGGTCTCTTGCCTTGAAAGCCCTACTGGATTGCCGTAAGTTGGCTGCGACTCGACCGGGGGGACGGGGACCCACTACCTTGACAGAATGATGCAACTGAGGCCAATGCTCACTCTAAGCGGTGGAGTCTTGTGAGCAAAATTTGTACTTTGCGAGCTACTGGCCTTAAAGCCGCGAGCGAGCGATTGGGCTGCGGCATACATTGGCTTGCTCTGGAGCCACCCTTCCTGAGCTAAGACAAAAAAGGTGTCAGCCAGAAGCTAAAAAGCTGTGGGCTAGCTCACACTAACTCAGCTTAGAGGGAACACGGTGAGGCACTATGGGGCTTTTGAAGAAGAGGAGATGGGTTTTGTACCCTGCTTTTCTCTACCTTAAAGAGTCTCAGAGTGGTCTCCTTCCCTTTCTCTCCCCACAATAGTCACCCCGTGAGGCAGTTCGTGCTGAGAGTTCCGAGAGAACCGTGACTGGCCCAAGGTCACCCAGCAGGCTTCCTGTGGAGGAGTGGGGAATCAAACCCACTACTCTAGACCAGAAGAGATGGTTTTTATACCCCACTTTTCTCTACCCTAAGGATTCTCAAGGTGGTTTACAATCACCTTCCCTTCCTCTCCCCACAACAGGCACCTTCTGAGAGGTAGGTGGGGCTGAGAGAGTTCTGAGAGAACTTGTGACTGACCCAAGGTCACCCAGCAGGCTTCCTGTGGAGCAGGAGTGGGGAATCAAACCCCAGTACTCCAGATTAGAGTCCGCCACTCTTAACCACTACACCACACTGGCTCTTTTGACTGGGGGTACTGATTGTACAGTGCCTGTGACATCCCTACTGACAAGTGATGGATGCTGGGTGCTCCTGGGAGGCCTCTAGGTACCATTTTGCAAGATTTCACCACCATTTATCCCTGCGAGCTCAGCTCCCTCGCAAATGGTCTCCCCTCCATGGGACAGAGAGTCTCCTAGCTCTTTCTGCTGGATTCGGGCTAGCCGAATGGGCAAGGCTAAGCCAAACTTCCTTATAAGTTCGGTAGCTGCCCATCCAAGTTCACAGCCTATGGCACACAAATGGCTTTTGAAAGAAAAGGGTTTCATCTGACTTTCAATATCCTTTCCTAGTCACCTGTACACAATACGTATGCACCCCAGGTGACCACGGGAATATCTCCTGGCAATCCTGTGACAAGAAAACCGGGAGTCATCCAGTTGTCTGGAAAGGGTCTTCTAGGCATCTGTTGTGCTGGCACTGCTGATCCAAAAAACCTGGTGTTCTTCAAACTGAGAAGCCACAATTGGATTTGGAGAGGCCGGCTTCTCTGTTTTTCTCCTCGCTCTTACCCTTTTGGCGCCAAACAAAACTCCTCATGCAACGAATCTGGCCCATCGGCCGTCCTCAAACCACCCAGCAATAACTGCAGCGGCCAATAAAATGGGAGCATCGAAAGATGCCAACGGCACAGGGATCCAAAGCCCCGGGGTTCAAATGGACCGTTTAGATCGACACGCCTTCCTTCTGACAGAAAATCGGCGGCATACACGCACTTGTAACCGCTCGCTTCTCGATGTCTCGCGGATGAGGTCCGCGACCCCCTTGCCGCTATCCCAGGTTCACGGACCTTTTCCTTACGCCACCTCCGATCCAGGCCAAGGCCTTGTTTCAAAGGCTGGTGTCCACAGTCTCCGGTTTGAGCTGGGCGCCCACTTCGGAAAGGGTGTCCGGCTGCCCGTCGCGGCAAAAGAGGAGGGCCGGGTTCTTGCAGGCCCACATGGCCACCTCTCCCCCGCCGGCCGGGCTGGCCGAGCAGAGGTCGCTGCCGGTGGCGGGGCCCTGGCTGGCGTAGCGCTCGGCCCGGCCCTTGGCCTCCGGGCGGCGGCCCCGGGCGGCGCCCAGGTAGGCGGCCAGGTCGTTGCGGGTCCGGTAGCCCCCTCCCCGGCTGCGTCCGAAGAGGGCGGCCAGGTTGGGGTTGCGGGCGGCGTAGATGAGGGGGTTGAGGGCCCCGTTGGCCCAGGCGGCCCAGCTGGCCAGGGCGTCGGCGGTGGGCGAGAGGGCGGCGCGGCCGGTGGCGGCGGCCAGGCCCAGCAGGCAGTAGGGCCCCCAGCAGCAGATGAGGGCGACGACCATGAGGAGGACGGTGGTGGCGGTGCGCATCTCGCCGCGGGAGCGCAGCAGGGGGCCGCAGGAGGTGAGGGGCCGCACCCGGCTCTCGGAGAGGCGCACGGCCCGGCAGATGTGGTAGTGGCAGAAGCACATGAGGGCGAAGGGCAGGAGGTAGCCGAGGACGATGAGAGCGGCGGCGTAGGGGGGGCCCAGGCGGGAGGAGGAGGAGGCGCCCCAGGGCCGGGCGTACCAGCAGTGGGGGGTCTCCCCCGCCGCCCCCTCCTCCTCCTCCCCGCGGGCCAGGAGGAGCCAGGGGGCGGCGAGGCCCAGCGCGGCCAGCCAGACGGCGGCCAGGAGGCGGGCGGCGCGTCGGCGGCCCATCTGGCGGCGGGGCTGGCGGACGATGGCGCAGTAGCGGTCGAAGGCCAGGAGGGCCAGGGTGAGGGCGGCGGCCATGCCGAGGGCGGCGTGGAGGGCGGCGGCGGCCCGGCAGAGGCGCGGCCCGAGGAGCCAGGCGCCGGGGGGCCGGCCGCGGAGGAGGGCGGCCAGGGCGGGCGGCAGGCCGAGGAGGGCGCCCAGCAGCTCGGCCAGGGCCAGCGAGAGGACGAAGGCGTTGGTGACGGTGCGCAGCTGGCGGTGGCGCCCGATGGCCAGCAGCACCGCCCCGTTGCCCGCCGCCGACAGCGCCAGGATCAGCAGCAGCAGCAGCAGCGCCGGCCAGGCCAGCGACGACCCCGGCCACGCCTCGTCCCCCTCCACGCCGCCGCCGCTCGCGTTGCCCCACCAGCGCGCCGCCGAGGAGCCGTTGTTGCGCCCCAGCGCCGCCGCCGCCTCCATGGGCGCATCGCTCTCGGCGGCCCTCGGCGGGCTGCGGCTGCTGCGGCTCCTCCGCCGAGGCTGCCTGCCTGACGTCTCCGCCAGCCGGTTGCCTCGGGAAACCAGGGCCGGACTCTCGGTGGTTGCGCACGTCGGGCCCGGCCGGGGGAAGAAGCGGCGGCCGCCCAGGGCCACGCACCCTTCGCCTTGCTGCTGCTGCTGCTGCTCTTCTGCCGCTGGCGGAGGGCGCGGACGGGGGTGGCGGGCGACGGACAGACTGAGAAAGCGAGCGGGCGTCGGGCCGGTTTTCTGCCCTTCGTTGATTTAACTTCGCCTTACCGACTTACCTTTACTGATTTGACTTAAAACTATTGATTTAACTTCACAGTGGGGACCCGGCGCGGCTTACAGCTTTATCCTAGCCTGTGAGGTGGGTTAGGCTGAGGCATGGGCGAGGGGGCTTGGTGGCTTGGCCCCAGTGTTCCCTCTAAGTTGAGCTAGTGTGAGCTAGCTCACAGTTTTTTAGCCTCCAGCTGAGAGCCAGTTTGCTGTAGTGGTTAAGTGCGCGGACTCTAATCTGGGAGAACCGGGTTTGATTCCCCAACTCCTCCACTTGCACCTGGCTGGATGGCCTTGGGCAAGCCGTAGGTCTGATAAGAGCTGTCCTTGGAAAAGAGCAGTTTCTGTCAGAGCTCTCTCCGCCGCACCTGCCTCACAGGGGTGTCTGTTGTGGGGAGGGGAAGGGAAAGGAGTTTGTAAGCCACTCTGAGACTCAAGTGACAGTGGGGTATAAATCCAGTCTCTTCTTCAGCTAGCTCAGTTTTTTAGCCTCCAGCTGAGAGCCAGTTTTATGTAGTGGGTAAGTGCACCGACTCTAATGTGGGAGAACCAGGTTTGATTCCCCACTCCACTTCCACCTGCTGGATGACCTTGGGCAAGCCCTAGTTCTGACAAGAGCTGTCCTTGAAAGGGCAGTTCTCTCAAGAGCTCTCTCAGCCCCACCTAACCTCACAGGATCTCCGTTGTGGGGAAGGGAGGGGAAAGGAGTTTGTAAACCGCTCTGAGACTCCAAGTTACGGCGGGGGATAAATCCAATCTTCTTCTTCAGCTAGCTCAGTTTTTTAGTCTCCAGCTCACACCTTTTTTACTTCCTCAGGAAGGAGGGCTCCAGAGCAAACTAATTGATGCAGCAGCCAAATTGCTCACTCCCCACTTTAATGCCAGTCGCTCACAAAGGAGATGTTTTGCTCACAAGACTCCACAGCTTAGAGGGAGTATTGCTTGTCACCTTGCCAGTTTCCAGGGCAGAGGGGGGATTCGAACCCTGTCCTAGTATGCAGTAGCACCTTAGAGACTCACAAGATGTGTGGCAGTAGAAAAGAGCAAGAGTCCAGTCAGCATCATAATGACTCAGGTTTGTGGCAGGGGATGAGATACCTCAGGAAGTGCCTGGGCACAAAATATTGGACTGTATATATGGTGTCTTTAAACCAAGGTGTACCACTTTTTGAGATTGTAGGGGGCTGCGGTGGCTCAGTGGTTAAGACACTGCAGACCAGAAGGTCGGCAGTTCGAGACCCGAGTGCCGCACGACGGAGTGAGCGCCCGTCTCTGGCCCCAGCTCCTGCCAACCTAGCAGTTCGAAACCAAGAAATTGCAAGTAGATAAATAGGTACCGCTTCGGTGGGAAGGTAACAGCATTCCGTGCGCCTTGGTGTCTGATCATGCCGGCCACGTGACCACAGAAACGTCTTCGGGCAGCGCTGGCTCTTCGCCTTGGAAATGGAGATGAGCACCACCCCTTAGAGTCGGATTCGACTGGCTTTCAAGCAAGGGAACCCTTTATCTTTACTTTTGAGATTGTGTCTCCTTGGAATGTTTTTGTACGAAGAAAACTATGGAGAAAGATAATATATTTTTTGAATAATAATTGATGTTTTGTACAGCACTTGGATCGGGTCCTTTACAGAGGATCTGTGAATACGCTTGAATGTGAACAATCCACTCTGAAGGAAGGAACTTTCATAAACACTGTTGCAGTACTCAGAATTCTTGATCCACTGTTTGTTTATTTAAACATTTATACCCTGCCTTTGCTCATGGTTCAGATCAGCTTACAATAACAGCTAAAAATGTTCCCAGTTAAAAACAAAACGGCAAACTCAAAATCTCTCTTTGTCCCTTCTCTAAAAGATGGATGTCATTCAACTCCCCCCTCCCAACCCAGAAAAACAAGCAGCGTGTACCTAGTGCAGACCAGAGCTCTGATCCTGCACATTATGATGTGCGACAAGCAGAAGCAGCAGCCAACCTGAATGCACTGGAGACGCCCAGACTGGTACTGATTGGTGTACAGCCTCCTGCTTTTATTCTGACTCTCCTGCTGTAAATGTTCCTGTGTGCAGCTTTTTCAAAGAACTCTTTTCTAGGATATTTCTTCCCCTTCCATGAGCGCTAATTTTGCACCCCTGTACCTACACATCCTAATATGGACAGCTTCCCAAAAAGAATTGGAAAGGAAATTGAGGTGATTATGGAAAAGCCAGACTTAGCTTTTGAAGAGAAAATATGTTTACGTTTTCAGACAGTTGTGTTGGCATTTAGAAACAGGTGGTAGAACTGAATGACGTTAGCATGTGTAGTGAGATAAGAAACCAATGTCTCTGTTAAGCCCTGGGGGTTCCATTGTCCTGAGTGTTATAATAACTGCTACCTCTCCCCCCACACACCTTTATTAGGACCAAAGAATCATAAAAGAAAGTTGCGAGTTCTTCAGAATTCTGTAGCAGGCTGGGTGGTGGGTACAAAAGCAGTGAGCAGGGGGACGCTTGAAAGCTCATACTGAAACAAACCATCTTTAAAGTGCCGATGGATGGATGGTTAGCTAGATCTCTCTCTTTCTCCAGTTGGCAACATTACAGAGTATAACATGACCAAGAAACAGACCCCAAAAGACTACGCAGTCGTGGGCAGGTTTGAGCCCCCAGGGCAAGGAGACATAGCGCCCCCTCAAGTACATGCCTGTCCCCTCTCCTATACAAGTGAACGTAAGAATATAAGAGATGCCAATGTTGGATCAGGCCAAAGGCCCATCCCGTCCAACACTCTGTATCACACAGTGGCCAGAAATACCAGTGCCATTAGGAAGTCCACCTGTGGGGCCAGGACATTCAAAGCCCTCCCACTGTTGCCCGCCCCCCAAGCACCAAGAAGACAGAGCATCACTTGCCCCAGAGTCCCTATCTATATCTTGTGGCTAATAGCCACTGATGGACCTCTGCTCCATAAGCTTATCTAATTCCCTTTTGAAGCCGTCCATGCTTGTAGCCGCCACCTCCTCCTGTGGCAGTGAATTCCAAGTGTTAATCGCTCTTTGGGTGAAGAAGTACTTCCTTTTATCCGTTCTAACCCGACCGCTCTGCAGGTTCATGGAGTGCCCACGAGTTCTTGTCTTGTGAGAAAGGGAGAAAAGTACCTCTTTCTCTACCTGCTCTTTCCCATGCATAATCTTATAAACCTCAATCATGTCGCCCCTCAGTCGTCGTTTCTCCAAGCTAAAGAGCCCTAAGCGCCTTAACCTTTCCTCATAGGGAAAGTGTTCCAACCCTTTTATCATTCGAGTTGCCCTTTTCTGCACTTTTTCCAAAGCTATAATATCCTTTTTAAGGTGTGGTGACCAGAACGGCACACAGTATTCCAGATGAGGTCGCACCATTGATTTTTATAGGGGCATTATGATATTGGCTGATCTGTTTTCAATACCCTTCCTAATAATCCCCAGCATAGCATTGGCCTTCTTTATTGCAGTCACACACTGTCTCGACATTTTCAGTGAGTTATCCACTACAACTCCAAGATCATTCCTACATCACACCAACGTAGCTTTGATAAGTGGGGCTTCAGCAATAGCAGGAAGCCCCCAGCCCCTCCTCCCCACCCACCTTGATACGAGGGCTGCCACTCATGATGAAGGGATGCGTACCTTAAAAAATGAACAAACTGTATTTGTAAGATTTGGATTTTGGGAACAGCATAAATACCACTATCCAATGGAACCTGGGTTCCCTGGTACTGTTCTGGGATTCGGGTCTTACAGGATCCCAGAATTATTCTGGGTCTGTTATTCCCTAGGGGGGACATTTTCGGTGGGGCTATTTTTCAACCAAGTGACCCGAAGTTGCAGGGGGGGTAGTGCTGCCTGTCTACCCAAGCTTCAAGTAAATTGGGACCAAGGAGCCCAATCCTCCAGGCCCCCGAACAAGGTGTCCCCAGCCATCCGACGTGCAGGGCTACCGACTGGGAATGGGCCCCGCCCCTCAAATGATGAGAGGAGGAGCCAGCGAGACCTGCTGTGCTGCTGGGCCGTGATTGGCTCGTGCTGGCCAGGAGCTGCCTTCCCGTTGTCTGGGAAACTGGTTCAAGGGAGATAAAACAGGCCAAGGAACCTTAAAATGCTGCCTCGCTTATTCCCCCAGATTCCCAGAAATATATGAAACCTGGATTTCCAAAAGTCCTGGGCACTGTCACAGAAACCCAAAAATAGTGATTAAGGTGTTTTCCAGGTATATATTTGAAGTGGATATATCCAAGCACATGTCCCTGCCTTATAACCATAAAATCAGGCATTTATAAAAAGTGTCCACGTTTAAAGAATTTCACATGTATTACCTTAGTAATGCTTACAACAGCCCTGTAAGATAAATCAGTAGGATGAATCCCACATTGCAGATGGGGAGGCTGAGAGGATGTAGCTAGTTTAAGGCCACTGAGGCAGATGAAATCTCAACAGGGGACTTTGCGATTGACAGTTTAGTCACCCGGTTATAGTCATCCCCATTACGCAGGGACAAGGCCCTTTGGAAACCTTTCCATGAAATCAAATTACAGATAATTAGTGTTTGAAATTTAAGGCAAATCAAACCACCTTTTAAAATATATGTTATTTATTTATTTATTTATTTATTAAAAAGGGGCTACAGAAGGGAAAAGGGGAAATAAAGAAAAATGAATAGTTGAATACTTTACAAATAATGACAGTTGGAGATATCAGTGATATATAATATCTGAGATACATATTTCAATTATAAAACGTATTCCAATTATTCAAAGATATTTCCTCTCTCAATTTTAATAAGACTTTAATAATTGCAACTACATCAACAAAAATTTTAAGGGCTATATTCGTTATCTTAAAATTGAAAATTCATCCATCTTCGGATATTGGATATTAAACACTGGAATTTAACTATACCATGGTATTGTATTACTTCTTAAATGATTTTAAAATATTAACATACACTATAATTACTATAATTAAACTATAGTCAGAGATAACGAACAAAATACTTCAGGAATATTTCAAAGAAGTAAATAAACTAGGTATGGATCATTAGTCAATATATGTAACTGCACCAAAAACCGAATGCTAGTAATTTCATCGGGACCACACAGCGTAGCATTCGAACAAGAATAAAAGAACACGAAAGACACTGCAGACTTGGCCAACCTGAAAAATCAGCAGTGGCTGAACATAACCTAACTCAAACAGGACACAGTATTTTGTTCCAAGACACTGAAAGGTTGGACAACACTTTCAATTACCATGTCAGATTACACAAGGAAGCCATTGAAATTCACAAACAGAATCTCAACAGGAAAGAAGAGAGTTTAAAAAATAATAGGACATGGCTTCCTGTCCTGAAAAACACAAAAGGCTTTGCATCAGACAATAGCACTACAGATAAGATTAGAATTTCAACAACCTCCTCAGGAAGCAGGAAACCGCCTCAGGAAACAAAAGAACCTCCTCAGGAAAGCTCCTCCATTAGCATGTTCATAGCCTGGGGAACTCCTACAAGACAATGACTCAGCCCGACCCACCTTCCAGAGTAGATATAAATTTACTGCCTACCATTTTCTTCTCACCTTGACACAGAGAGTACTCCATCTTTCTGTGTTTATACCTCTGAGGATGCCAGTCACAATTACTGGCGAAGCGTCAGGTCCTACAATGCCAAGACCACGGCCACACATCCCGGAAAATCTACAGCAACTAATGAACTCCGGCCGTGAAAGCCTTCGACAACATATAGTAGTAATTTGTGTTCCCTATCTTCAACCTTTACCTGTAATTAACATAATAAACTTCCCAATTCTTCTCAAATCCCTTGAACCGTCTTCTATTTATATAGTTGATTTAGTTGCCAATACTACTCTGGCTGCAGTTAACATACATCTAAAAAAGGTACATTTAATTTCAGTATGCTTGTAGAATCAAAATGGCGAATGATTTATCAGAACGAAGAGAAAAAGACTGGGGCTGTGATGCAATTTGTAATCCAGAGTTCATAATATTCAAACGTTTGTAATATTCTCTTCTACACCCCCCACCCACCGAGATTTGAAGGTTATAATATTAATTAGCACTAATCACAGAACTATTATTCTTTCCCCCCTTTAACAAAACTTAACAGATTCCCAGAAAGGGGGGTGGGGGTTTATAGTCCATCACAGCCTTATCTTTCTTGTTATTTCTCAGTGTCCTTGTAATAACAAAATAAGAGTAAAGGTTTTTTAAAGCACAGTGTGCTAGCAAGAGGGATAACACAAAGAGAAGGCACCCTTATTTGGCAATTACGCCAATCTTAACTCACTGCCAGGGTTCCCTGTAATATGCTCTAGGCTGCGCTAGTGCACAGATTTCTGGACCTCAGCGCAGGGATTTTCATCCCAGCGCAGGTCAATGCTCCCTCTAAGCTGTGGCGTCTTATGTGCAAAAATTCTACTTTGTGAGCTACTGGCACTACAGTTCTGAGCAAGCGATTTGGCTACTGCATAACTTAGTTTGCTCTGGAGCCATCCTTCCTGAGCGAAGACAAAAATGTGTGAGCCGGAGGCTGAAAAACTGTGAGCTAGCTCACACTAACTCAGCTTAGAGGGAACACTAGTGCAGGTCCAAGGAGTGGAGCTTAGAGCAGGCACTTAGAGGGCAGTCTCTTTAAGCGCCTGCTCCAAGCTGGCCTGGTAGCGGAGCTGGGCCCAGGCCACACTCCAATGCCGGTGGGGCTAGCGGCCCCTCGAGGCGGGGGGGGGGCTTAGTAGCAGTTTAAGAACATAAGATGGGCCAGTGGCCCATCCAATCCAACACTGTGTCCCACAGTGGCCAAAACCCAGGTGCCATCGGAGTTCCACCAGCAGTGCCAGAACTCCAGAAGCCATCCGATTGTTGCATCCCCCCCCAGTTTAAAGACCAACCAGATTTGTAGGGTATAAGCTTCTGTGACTCTCTTAAGCTTATTATCTCCAGCAAATCTTATCCAGGTGTTGACGAACTTTAATCCTACTGCAGACCAACAGGGCTACTCTCTGAAAACATTTTTTTTTTTAAATAAACCAGGCAATCCACATGGTGGAACGAAATAATCCTGGCTTTCCTCGCAAGGTTGCTGGAGGGGTCACTCTGAAAACGCAAGTGAACTTAAATGAGCTGCATCAAGGCTAAGTTTTAATTTACAGTATCAGTATCAACAAAAGTGACTGCACTGATATTTTCACAGAGTGTGTGTCTGTTGGTCTGGAATAGAAGAGCTAGATTCAAGTCCATGAGCACCTCAGAAACCCACAGAATTACTGGGGTCTAAGAATTCAACGACCTCGCCACGGTAATCCATGCAACTGTCACCTCCAGGATAGATTACTGTAACTCGCTCTATGTGGGCCTACCCTTGAGACTGACCCGGAAGCTCCAACTGGTCCAGAATGCACCTGCAGGGGTCCTTACAGGGACCCCTAGATGGCACACATTCAACCTGTGCTGCATAAGCTGCACTGGCTTCCGGTGAACCACCCGATCAATTTCAAGGTGCTGTTTTTGGCCTTTAAGGCCCTTAGCAGGCAGGGACCCACACACCTTAGGGACTGCCTCTCTCAGTCAGTATGCCCCAAGAAGAGCGTTACACTCGGGAATTAAGAACCCTCTGTTAGTCCCCAGCCTGAGCGAAATCTGGCTGTCCTCAGCCAGGGCCTGGTGGAACTCTCTGCTGGAAAACATCCGTGCCCCGCGGGATTTTTTTACCTTTCCACGGGGCGTGTAAGGCAGAGATGTTCCGCCAGGCATTTGGTTGAGGACAGCGACGGGGCAGCATGCAGTCTGGCAATCTCATAGCCTCAATTCTCCGCAAGCCTCCCTTCCCCACGGAGTCTTGTGAAATCTGAAATTTTCTCACCATCTTCTACTGAATTGAATCTTGTTGATACGTGCACTGTATATTTTACTGTGGGTTTTAACTTTTAGTCATTTCTTGTATGTTCCTTTCTGTTGTAAGCAGAGGTCATTTCCTGCAGGAGCGCACAAGAGCGGAGCTCTGGCAGTAAGGAGCCCAGGGGGAGGGCACATGCAACAAGCCCCGCCCCCTGCTCCCAGCAGCCCTCAGTCAGAGCAAGAAGAAGCCAGGTAAGTTGCAGAGCCCCCCCACCCACCCAAAACAGTCCAGTGGCACCTTTAAGACCAAGTTTTATTCAGGTACAAGCTCTCCCTCCTCTGCCAGGACAGATCTGCACGTCCCATTCCCCCCCCCCCCAATAGCTAACAATCCAAAACAGTCCAGTGGAGCCCGAGCGCTGGGCGTTGCCTTCTGACACACTTCCGGTGATGCCAGGGGTGTGTGGCATATGCAAATGAGTTATGCTAATGAGCTCCTGCGCCTCTTTTTCTACGAAATAACCCCTGGTTGTAAGCCACACCCTGAGCAGTGTTCCCTCTAAGCTGAGTTAGTGTGAGCTAGCTCACCATTTTTTAGCCTCCGGTTCACACATTTTTGTCTTAGCTCAGGAAGGATGGCTCCAAAGGAAACTCTTTAATGCAGTAGCCAAATTGCTCGCTCACAACTTTAATGCCAGTGGCTCACAAAGTCGAATTTTTGCTCACAAGACTCCACAGCTTAAAGGGAACATTGACCCTGAGCCCTGCTCGCAGTCTAAAAATTTAATCAGATACATTTTAAAAATACCCTTCGTCATCCTCAGCTACCCAGATCTTACAGCAGGCAGTGGGATTTGTGCTTTGACTTTCTGCTTGGGATGGAAGAGGGTACGTACTCTAGGTCGTTTTTAATGTGCTCCCCCCCCCCCCCCCCCGCAAGTGGTGTTTACTGTGTGCTCATTTGTTTCTGTTTGAGGGAGCTAGAGAATATAGAGTATTTCACTTTCAAGAAAAATGATAATAGTATGGTAAATATAGTTTGTAGGTTTGTAAACTGAATTTAAAAATATAGAATATTAAGGAGGCTCGCTGACAGCGTTTATGCAAGTAGCACTTTTGGCTCATGGAGTAGAATTCCGGCTCACGAGAATCCACAGCTTAGAGGGAATACTGCACTGTCCCAATGGAATCCGGCCGTCTTACATCTGTTACACAGTCCCAGAGATGGTTACCTGTCGAAGTGCCTCGTCTTGAAGGGGAAGGAGAGAGATTAATCTTGTTCTCTCCCACCAGCATCTAAACACCCTCAAAGAGTTAAGATCCAGGAGCTCTGTATAAGAGCTCCTATTCGGGAAGCCATATTCCTCAAAGTCCCATCTTTTTGATCAAGGTTTCTACGAAGCCAGAAACTTGACATCATTTAAGAAGAAACCCATATTTCAATGGGTCATTCTCCTCCAGGGTGAAGGCTGATGTTCCAGTATAAAAGGATTCTCCGGAGACTTCTACGATAACAGCATTGTGGTCACCGCTTTTCGATTCCTGAGTTAAAAGGGGAAAAAGACACTGATTAAGCAGGAGAAAGAGATTAATAACTGATCGATCATAATAGGTTTACTGTGGCAAAAACTTTGACAAGCAACGGCCAGCTACGCAAGGTATGTGTGTGATGAACCTGCTGCCCAGCAAAAACATTCTCACCAAGATAGAAGACCGGCAGCTCAGCTCGCCCGGCTTTGGAAACATGGCTCTTCATCAACAGAAGATCAAGCAGCTGAAGGCCTTGGTTGCAGGATCCTGGTAGGTTTGAAGGAGCGTGACGATAGAACAGTGAAGGAAGCCCTCCGTGCTCTTGGGAATCTCCTCAGCCGCCACCAGGGAAGAGTGTACCCCGGTTCCAGCTACATTTGCATTGCTGAGCAGATCCAGCCTCTGCTGACAGATGGGCGGGATCTAGTGCGCGCTGCTGCCATTGGTCCGTTTGGAAAGCTCCTCCTCAAACTCGGGCGCAGGCATAAGTCCATGATGCAAGAGCACATCCTCTTCCACGTGGCCCCTTTCCTACTTCGTCTCCAAAAAGCCAGTCTTGGAGAATTGTGAGTGGACCTTGCCACGTCGCCACGACATCTCGGGATGGAAACTTCTGAAGATCGAGGCCCTGGCCCATTATGGCAGCCGGGAAGCTGAGACAGATCTGCAAGCGCCTGGTTCGGCAGTATTCAGTATGAGGCAGTTTCGGCCGAGTGCCGAAGAATAGATTCTTTTGAACTATGGTGCTGGAGAAGACTCTTGAGAGTCCCTTGGACTGCAAGAAGATCAAATCAGTCAGTCCTAAAAGAAATCAACCCTGACTGCTCCCTGGAAGGCCAGATAATGAAACTGAAGCTCAAATACTTTGGCCACCAAATGAGAAGGGAGCACTCACTGGAGAAGACCCTGATGCTGGGAAAGATTGAAGGTCAAAGAAGACGGGGACGGCAAAGGATGAGATGGTTGGACAGTGTCACGGATGCAACGAACGTGAAGTTGAGCAAACTTCAGAGGACGGCGGAAGACAGGAGGGCCTGGCGTGATCTGGTCCATGGGGTCGCGAAGAGTCGGACTCGACTGTGCGACTGAACAACAACAATGCTGTCAAGTCGGAGTAGCACTGACCTTTGGTCCATCAAGGTCAGTATCGTCTATTCAGATTGGCAGCGGCTCTCCGGTAGAGGCCTTTCACATCACCTCCTACCTGGTCCTTTCGAGCAGAAGATACTGAACTTGGCACCTTCTGCATACTGAGCCATGGTCCCTCCCACCTTAGACCAATTTGCATCAGCCCGGAGCTGACCTCGGCGCTGAAGCTGGGTCTTCCTGCCTGCTGCACCCAAGGGGCTCTGAGCGGCTTCACGCCTCATCGTCTCCTCCACCACGACACAAGCAAATGGACAGAGACGGTTCCTGCTCACTTGCGGACGCCGAGAGGCCTGAGCTGGACGCTCAAACAGCCCTCAAAACAAAACCATCCACTAGTCCGTCAGTTTCACTGACGCGAGGGCAAAACTTTTCTACACGGTCCCAGCTTACCTTCACCGCTTTTCCAGTGAACAAGGAACCAGTTGTGCTGCTTCTGAAAGTCCTGGTCTGGCCCAGCTGGATGAGCCCTTTATGGTATTGCAAGGCAATGCGAGCCGTCACGCCTGACCCAGTAGGGCTTCGGTCGACCTGGTTCAGAAAGAGAGAAGCTGCCGGGTTTCAGCATTCTGTGTAACGCAGAAGTCCCAACCACTGACAATCGGTATTTCACGCGCAGCCGATGGATCGCTCCACCACTCAATAATGCTAGAATGGGTTCACTTTCTGACACAGCATTGGGCCTTGCTACAGGAGAACAACTCATTTAGTCAAACGAAAAGAGTTTTGCCTAGAGGAGCAGAGATACGCGTGTTTTGAACTGCGGACCTCCTCACCGGGAGAGAACCCTTATGAAATAGACAGGGGTGGTTCAGGAAAAGATGCTTAGTTTCCTGCAGGCACGTGAATGTTTTGCACAGCTCTTCATCTCACGGCACAAAGAACATCCCTGACGGGAAGTTTCACAATTTTACCCATAACTCCTTCTTTGAAAAATAATAATTTGGAAGGAATTCGGAAGGTCTTTCCCGCATATTCCATAAGGACCCCATCATTTAGGCTTCCAGAAAACCCTGTTGGTAATCCCTATCACTGCTACTATTATAAAAAACACAACTGCTATCAGCAGCTGCCTATGCATGTACTGGGAGGGGGGGATCCGAACCTTAGTTTGCTGCCATTGAAGGCCTCCAACTGCCTCCACCCAAGGGAGGGAGGATTACAAGCTCTCCAATTTCCTAACAAGAATCGTCCTCTGTGTCACGATTCTAGTACTTGTCACAATTATTTTTAGTTCAGTGGCACCTTGAAAATCAACCAAGGCCCCAGTCACACGGGCAGGAAAATCCGTGTGGGGGGGGAAGCGTGGCTGTTTGCCCCGGAGCAAAATAACGCGCGATTGCACGATCAGATGTTCCGTCGAGGTCCCGTGTTTAGGGGGGAAGTGCCAATCACACGACCATCCTGCAGCGCGGCAAAGAAGCGGCGCGGCGCGATCACACCAGCATATGGGATAGATTTTTTTTAACTGACATTTGTGCATACGCATGACTGAGCAATCGTATCTGCACATCCAAAGGTGGGTGGTGGGGGAGGTGGGCCCCCTCGTCACAGCCGCTCTAACTGCCTGCGCGACAGTGGCCTTAGCGACCCTCCAGAGGTGGCAAGCCTGGCCGCAGTGGGAGGGGGCCTCTTTGTGCGCATGCACCGTTGGGCGCTTGTGTGCATCCTGTGGAGACTTGGGGGGGGGGAACCTGTTCGTGACGGGACATGGGCGGGCGCCGGATGCCACGGGATTCCACCGGAAACGCGATCAGGCGCCCTCCCTCGGAGGTACTAGTTTTTTACCCCGCATCTTTGCCGGGAAGCCTCGGGTTCGGCACAGGAGCTCTACGCTTCCCAGATGTGGTGGTGTGATCGTGCCTGGAAAATCCACCTATCTTCCGTCTCTGTAGCGTGGCTAATGTTCCGTGTGACCGCAGCCAAAGTTTTGTTCAAGCTATAAGCTTTTCTGTGCATGCACACTTCCTTCAGGTACCTTGAGTAAAACTTTGTTGGTCTTAAAAGGTGCCACCGGACTCAAACTCTGATCTGCTGCTTCAAACCAACATGGCTACTCTCCTGAATCTATTGTCATAATTCTGTACTGGTGATTTTTGGTGCCCGAGACTAGAAAGGTAGACTATAAAAACAAAGAGCAGGGGAACCCAAAATGCCCCCTGCTCTTTTTGTTGCATCTGTCTCCCTTCTTCCGGACCTGTGCTTCTCAAAGGGAAGGGGGAATCTCTGCTCAAGAAAATTTGGTAAGAGAGAACTTGATTTTGCATCCAAAGTACACACGTGGGTCTCCAGAACTACCTTTTCCCCCTTGGTACAGCAACTGCGGTGGCTCAAGTGGTTAAGACGCTGAACTGCAGGCTGTAGAAGGTCAGTAGTTCAGCAGTTCGAGACCCGGGTTGCTGCATGACGGAGTGAGCTCCCATCTCTGGCCCCAGCTCCTGCCAACCTAGCAGTTCGAAAGCAAGACATTGCAAGTAGATAAATAGGTAGTGCTTCGGTGGGAAGGTAACAGCGTTCCGTGCGCCTCGGTGTTTAGTCATGCCGGCCACATGACCCCGGAAACGTCTTCGGACAGCGCTGGCTCTTCAGCTTTGAAACAGAGATGAGCACCGCAACCCTAGAGTCGGACTCGACTGGCTTTCGAGCAAGGGAACCTTTACCTTTACTTTACAGCAACTGGTCCCTGAGATCCCTCTCCCCCAGACAATCTGGGCTTAGCTTGTCAACTCTGTACAGCTCTTTTCCTTTCTATAGTTCCTGGGTCAACTAGTTGCCGCACTCCTGATTGAATCCAATAGTGGCAGCGAGGCTTCAGTGATTATCTTAGTAACAAAGAGAATTACATTTTTTTAAAAAATATATGAACTAGGGAACCAAACTTCCTGGGTGAAATGCCTTCTCCTTTCCCCCCCTTCTTAGTAGCCCTACTGACAATGTGCACGTACACACCTGAAGCTGCCTTTCTCCTGAATCAGACCCAGGGTCCCATCAAGGTCAGCTTTGTTTTCTCCGACTGGCAGCAGCTCTCTCCAGGGTCTCAGGCAGAAGTCTTTCCCATCATCTGCTACTCGGTTCTTTTAGCTGGAGATGCCGGGAACTGAACCCGGGACCTTCCGCATGCCAAGCAGAGGCTCTTCCACCGAGCCATGGCCCCACCCCACTGTTATTATCCAGGGACCCCTACAGCAAAGCACCAACAGAACTTCTCTCGCACCGTTTGAAATGGAACATGCTGTCCTACCTGTGCGTCTGCAAACACACAGATGTTGCTTGTCGGCTCATCGCTAAAGGCGTCCTTGCCATCGGTCAGTATAGTCCCATAAAGGAAGCTCACATCTTTAATGTGAGGATGGCAGACAGTGTACTAGAGAGAGAGAGAGAAATTACACTCTTGATTTAAAAAACATAACTAGACACGTGCAACGATATATGCCACTATGGTAAATTCCCTTCATCATAGATCGGCACAATTACAACACCACGATGCACTGAATAAAAGAGGGACTGAATTTACACTGACGCAGAATAGTCACTGATTGGCATCACTGAATAAAACTACCCGTCTTGAAGCGGGCCAGATACAAGACCACGCAACACTTTTTTGTTTGCTTCAAACCTCCAACTTACAGATCAGAGATTTGCTTCGTAATTCTCTGTCTTTGCTTATAAAGTGTCCCATCAAGGTCTGCTTACAACAGAGGATAGACAAATAAAAACAAAGAACTCCTTCACAGGCTTTCTACTTCACTGACATGGACAAGGCCGTGCCGCTTGCCAGCTCCCCAACATTCTGTCCCGAGTTCAATCACCTTGTCGCAGGGCAGCCAGGCAATTGAGGCCTTGCGAGGTCCAACTCAACACCACTTAAGCCTGGAAGTGAACAGACAGGCCAGTGCCAGAGTTCTGGTGTCCTTTGTGCTTAGCAATCCCCCCTCCCCCAATCAGGAAGCTGGGAGAGGAGGCAATTCAGCTGCAGAGATATCATTTCGGCCAATCTTTGAGAGTTTCCTTGGTTTCTCTCCTGTTCCTCTCTGGCGTCCATTATCAGTTCCCCACCCAGAGTAGCTCCGAAGCACCAAAGTGCATGAGAAGCAAGCGACTTTGTTCCCTATTACCACTTTCTGATGTTATCGGTTGATTTAAAGGCATCAAAAAACAATCAGCTATCCACAAAATACACATTTTGATATATAACAAGTGATACACGGTGACCCGGTCAACTTCATTAGCAGATAGGTATGCCTGAGATCAATCTGTATAATTCTGTGGCCCTGTGAACAGCTAACTGCAGTCACTTGCCTCCAGAGGATCTGGCAGGTAAACATTTAAAAAAGTGGATTAAGCCACAAAATATGCTAAATTATGGACAAGACAATCAATAATTTAAAGGACTAGGCACTTGTAGGCTTTTATGAAAAGCTACACATCTTGATTAGATTACACAGTATGGGGAAGTCTGATGTTACCTGGGCCTTCACTGCTTCGGTTACTGCAGATGCTGCGTCTACAAGATCCCTCAGCTTTGAAGAACACACGTCTAGGCCCAGCTTTTCAGCGCTGAGAAATGCATAAAAAGCGCCACCGTATGCGATATCAACCACCACTTTCCCATAGCCGGGAACGTCTACCGTTAGATCTGAGAATCAAGCAAAAGACAGAACCGCAAAGTTGTTTCGTGCGTTACCACCTCATGTTACTTGCACTTGATTTGCTTCAGGGTTGGCTCTGATAGCCACTCAGTGGATGTGCTTCTCCTTATGGTGGAGGTAATGACACTTTGCAAGCCACTCTGGGAACTAAGAAAGGGAGCAAATGACTAAATGCCCCTGTGATGACCTCCTTATTCTGGAGGTCTGGTTTCACTTTAAAAGTGTTCTTTATTTTCTTTTACTGGGTATATATGGCTGCCATCAGGAAATTTTAAGGATTTCCAAACCTTTATGCTTTTACTGTTGCTCTTTTGAATTTGGTAGACCGAGTTCAAGGCTTACAGGGATCTATGTGGTCCTGGGAAGTATTTCATTCAGAGCTGGTATAAACTTGGATGAAAGAGGATTTATTGAAATAACTATTAAATAAGAGGGTTGCACAATGTAACTAGTATAAATGTAACTAATGTATAAATGATGAACAATTGCTTTGGTATCACACAATCTTATCCCTCACTGACAGGGATCTTTCAGGTAACTTTGTAACACTTGTTTAACTCAAGGTCATATATGTTCACTGTTTCTCTCCAGTTTATCAGGACATACAGCCTTTCCTATAACTTGTCTTCAATTAAACTTTCATTTACTTTTTCCTATACACTCAGCTTTCCTTCTGTTTCTCACTGAGCTACCTCAGCTGTCCGCTTATAACTGCTTCCCCAAGAACTGCGTGTCTAACTCAACTGTCAACTTGTAACTCCAACTCCAGACTGACGCACAAAACCTCCACCCAGATTCACTTCCAAAACCCCTCTCCCTCTCTGTCAACCACCAATCATACCACACTTGCATCTCTCAACCACTCTAGTCTACCTACCACAGCCATGCAACCAAACTTTTAAAGAGACACACACAAAAGAAAACAAGGAATCATTACAGCCCCCCCCCCAAACACACACAAAATGACCTTTCTTAGGTATCGCCAGCACATTTCACTAAGAACATTGGGCACCAGTGGGCTGGAGACCTGAGAAAAGTCACAGGCTGAAGCATTTGCTGTACCCCAAACAACTCAGATTCTTTTCACGCAACACAAATTGGACCTAACCTAAGCATACCCTTAAGGCCTCAGGCCACAGGGCTAATAGCAGTTTGGGGAGGGCACAGTTTACACCACGAAAAAGGCAGGAGGGAAATTATTCAAATCCTCCACCCCAAGTGCCGCTTCCCTGACCGAATCACTACACCGGTGTAGTTCCTCTGATGGTAAAAAAAAAATAACAAATCCTCACATCCTGTCTACTTTGGCTCAAGTGAAACTTAAGTTAAGTCACAAGCAGTGTTCCCTCTAAGCTGAGTTAGTGCGAGCTAGCTCACAGTTTTTTAGCCTCCGGCTCACACACTTTTGCCTTAGCTCAGGAAGGATGGCTCCAGAGCAAACTAATTTATGCAGGAGCCAAATTGCTCACTCACAACTTTAATGCCAGTAGCTCACAAGGTAGAATTTCTGCTCACAGGACTCCACAGCTTAGAGGGAACATGGGTCACCAGTACCTTTTCCACCGGATTTAGTTATTAGTTGGACCAGGAACTGTTAAGGCAGATGAGTTTTGCTGTTTAAGGCACATGACATTCAGATAGAAGTTTCCTTCAAGATCTAACGATTCAGGCTGGGGCCTATAGTTTTGGCTTCCTTCTCATTTTTGTCTTCAGAAGACACTGAAGGATGACCTAAAACAGCGGGTCAGCATGATATAGTGACCAGCATGCAGTGCCAGTCCTTCCTGCAGCCCGGCCCGAGGAGACGCCACCCTCCCAAGACTTCAGAATTCTGAACACAACCTGTTTGGTTCAGATGAAAGTCTACGCGCATCTAACGCAACGCATAACTCACTAGGCCAGTTGGGAGAGCTGCTGTAGCACAGAGAGGCATTCCTTCCAAGATGCAGAGTAACAGCCAGAGTAGCATTAATCAAATTTCATCAACCTAAGCGGGTCAGAAAGAGAAAAAGGAAGCTCACATCTCACCAGTTCGGATAACTCTCTGTTCTTCCTTGTGAGAAAGCAGACAGTAACAGTGTTATCAGCTGTATCCTAGGTTAACTGAAGGATGGTTTGCTTAGTAAGGATGCAGTTAAAGCTCTTCAACATGCACACGCCAGAAACAGCAAGAGAGGAAGCTCAGGCGGGATAAAAATTTAAGTCAGGGGTCCGCCAAGGGTTTTTAGATAGCGAGCAGACCCAGGCAGTGTTCCCTCTAAGCTGAGCTAGTGTGAACTAGCTCACAGTTTTTTAGCCTCCGGCTCACACGTTTTTGTCTTAGCTCAGGGAAGATGGCTCCAGAGCAAACTCATTGATGCAGTAGCCCAATCGCTCGCTCACAGCTTTAATGCCAGTAGCTCACAAAGTAGAATTGTTGCTCACGAGACTCCACAGCTTAGAGGGAACATTGGACCCAGGTGGTGCTTTTTTGCCCAGCAGGGCTTTGGATTGGCCATTGGAGACCTGATTTTTAAGAAGTTGCTTCTAGCAGCAGCTGTCACCACAGCACAAGGACCTTACCGCAGTGACTGCGCGTATGCAATTAAATATCTCTAAACAAGAGGCATCCTGTTAAATCGGGGCTTCAGCCTGAGATGACATTTTGTGGCTTGCTGTGCCCATTCTGTGGGTGGCTCCATTTTAAAGTTGTGCCCACCACTCTGGGTCAGAATGCCAGAGGTGCCCGTAGGCTCAAAAATGTTGGGGGCCTCTGGGTTGTGTTGAGCACTGGCAGTAAAACAAAAAACAGTAAAGGTACGTTAACACCCGACAGAAGGAATGGCTCACAAACACTCAGGGCTGTTGATGGGATTGCAACAAAAGCTGAAATCTGAAGCTCCAGCGGAAGCCTTCATAAACCTGATAGGATTTGCTTCTTGCACGCTTAGGATTTCATGGCAGTGTGATACATACGTCAGAAAAATTAGGCTAGGAAAGAGTACGAAGAGAGAAAAGTTAGAACATAAAGATATGGGGTGCAGAGATGCTTTAGGCAAGTGGTGTCGAATATGTGGCCCGGGGGTCGGATAAGGCCCACGCAGGGCTTCTGTCAGGCCCGCAGTGGAACTGGCTGTCTTCTGCTTCTTCCAGTTCTGCTGCTGCTGCGTCATCGTAGGTTTGCAGCTTACAGATACACACCTGAACAGCACACTCAAGATTGCAACAGCATCAGACATTTTTATGCAATAATTCAGAGCAAGAGGTGTCAGTTATCAGACGCTGTTAAATAAGCAAAATATTGCATGAGCGCTGATGTTTTGAGCATGTTTTTATTTTAAGTTAAAAAAAAAACCCTTTTGTGTTTGTGTCCTTTATAAAGTTTATCTCTCCGGTACCTGGCATTACATTTCATGACACACATGGCCCCGGCCCAACAAGGTCTCATTTATGTCAGATCCGGCCCTCGTAACAAATGAGTTCGACACCCCTGCTTTAGACTTTGCCACAAATAATCACAGAGACAAGACCACATCTGTAACAAGTCATTCAGACAAATGTACAGCAAAGGAAACTAGTGAGTTATGGCCAGAGCTGTAATGGAGGAGGAGGAGGAGGAGATTGGATTTATACCCCGCCCTTCACTACCCAAAGGTGTCTCAGAGCGGCTTACAAACTCCTTTCCCTCCCCCTCCCCACAACAGACACCCTGTGAGGTAGGTGGGGCTGAGAGAGCTCTGACAGGAACTGCTCTTTTTCAAGAACACCTCTGACAGAACTATGGCTTGCCCAAGGTCATCCAGCAGCTGCAAGTGGAGGAGTGAGAATCAAACCCGGTTCTCCCAGATTAGAGTCTACGCACTTAACCACTACACCAAACTGGGTGGTTTATACACAGCAGTGAAGGTAGTAGGCACTCAAACTGTGGAAATAACCAAAGAAAGCCTGGCATCCAGTCATGTTCAGGAAACATCAGCAGGAGAAACGACAGTAGCTGCTAATATGCAGATGACACCATCAAACTTCCATGCTCTCCCCCCTCAACACTGCACAAGATGCCTAACAAAGTGTGCCAAGCAGGTCTCATGTGGGAAAGAAGTACTGCGTTATTACTGCTTAGCTTTTGGGGAAACCAACATAAAACAAATACTGTGCACACATGATTATAACATATAAATAATTTTATATTTTTTAAAAAATATTTTTACAATAATTTCTTCATATATAATTAATCATCTTAATCACAATTCATAATATATATCAAAATATCAAATATCATCTCCATAGAATCTCCAAAGATATTGTACAACCTTATAATTAATAATAGTCCTCCTCTGTTAAAAGTTTCAATAGGAAGGACTCCTTAAAGTCTCTTTATAACATGTGCTCTGTTTCCTCCAACCGTGTTATATATTATGAATTGTGAATTAAGATGATTAATTGTATATGAAGAAATTATTGTAAAATATTTTTCAAAAAATATAAAATTATTTATGATATAATCATCTGTGCACGGTATTTGTTGTATGTTGGTTTTCCTACTTACCGTGGGTCCTTGTTTGGTTTTGTGAATAGCTTTTGGGGAAAGCAAGAGCTACGGATGGCTCCAGGCCCACCCTTTTCTAACTTACTATCAGACATGGCCAATAGGAGAGCGAGCAGGAAACAAGACGGCAAGCCAAAACAGAAGGGGAATGGACTCACTCTCCATCATACGGTTGTTTCCAGCTTATTTACTTCATCTATATCACACCTTTTTTCCTTATGGGGACCTCTTTCCCCTCGCCTCTGTTTTATCCTCACAACCCTGTGAGGTGGGTTAGGCTGAGGGAAGGTGAGACTGGCCCAAGGTCACCCACCAAGCTTCCAAGGCAGAGTGGGGATTCAAACCCCAAATCCCAGCCCACCACACCACACCCAACTGTCGGGCTGTCTCCATTCACAGGAAGCAGCAGTCGAAACTGGAACTCACTGCTTGCAGCCTTGGGTGGAACAGCCCCTTCCAACA